AGTGTGAACATTCAGGGATCCCTCTGCCAGTCTTTCCAGATGTCGGTCACACACCTGTTCCTTCCAGAGGTGATCCTCAATTACGTGGCCTACAGATGCGATCTGCTCTCCCCGCTGCAGGAGACACGGGTGAGCTAACTTCAAAAGACACTGCCAACTGCAGCTCCCTGCCCTTCGCTCTGAATACAGAAGATGTCCCCAAGGGGGAGGCATTATCCAGGAAGTAAATCTAAAAAGAAAAAGGCTCTGAGGAACTGTGAGCATCGACGCATCTGCCGAGTCAACCCAAGTGGCAAGTGAGAAAGAGAGAAGATGATCCAAGGTCTACATCACTCACGAAGCAATGAAACTGCCGGCAGGGTTGTTCCAGCTCTCGAGACACGAAGCAAACTTGCCGGAAGCCACCTCTGTGTAGGTTCTTTCTTTGGGTGAATCTATGTGCGGCGTGGATACGGCTTCATCTGGCTTACTCGCGCGTGACCAATGCCAGCTTTGAGCAGGAGACGTGGATTTGTGCCTCCGGACCACTGGTCCATAGCTACCCCGCTTCAGAATCTAAAGTGCAAACTCTCCGTTCATATAGGCGCCCTCTCTTATTTTAATCTGTAAAATAGGGACAATGATAACTGTTTTCATACTTTTTATTTTTGAAAAAATCTTTATTGTTGAAAGTATTACAGATGTCCCCCCTTTTTCCCCCTACTGACACCCTCCCCGCTGCTCCCATGCCCACGACCCAGGCCTTCATCCCACTATTGTCCCTGTCCGTGGGTGATGCATACATGCGTATACATTCTTTGGTTATTTGGTTTTAATCAGGAGTTCTTTAGTAACTAGGAAGACACATTTACTCAAATTAGCTGGGGCAAGAGGAGGTGGGCATCATAACTAGAAATGTAAAAATCACAGACGCAAGAAGTACAGCCAGAGTTACGGCCAGATGCCAGCAGGGACCCAGAGAAGAGGGATGACGAGGATATTATCAACCTTCTAGTCTTTGCTTTCACTTCTCTCTATTTACACGGGGCCCATCCTAGGTTCCCCAACAGCCTTCTCAGTTCCCAAATCTATGTCACATACAAAGAACACAGATTCTGATGGCATCAGCTGAGGTCATGGGTTTGCTCTCATCATCCGTGGACTGTGGAAGGAGAAGAAGGTGCTGTGGTTGAATGGCAGCCCCTTTGGGGCATAGAAGGAGGATGAATACTACCAGAGGGATGGGAACTAGGAAGCTGGCAGAAGAAATGATTGACATCCCTAACTTAACATTCTATCTAACAAGGTTGTCATGAAGGTCAAGTGACATGCAGGGTATACATGAACGCATTTTCTAATCTGTAAAATACTGTAGACATGTAAGGTAGAGGATGCCTTATTCAAAGCTCTCAAAGATTTCATATCCGTGCTACCCTTGGGCCAGAGTAACTCATCGATTGCTATTCACTCATAATGGCACAGACTGGGACACTTTCAACGAACAAAGAATGTGGAGATAAATCCGGACTATAGATCACAGGAATTAGGTATTGTTCAAAGACAAACAAAGAAACAAACAAGACATTTAAAGCAGGAGGCTCCGAAAGACACGAGAGAATTACAAGTGGGTTTTCCATGTAAACATCACATGTCTCCCCAATTTGTCCTGGACTGGCTCCTGATATCAAAGCTGTAGCAGACAAATCTGTATGGAGAGAACCCCAAAATTAAATTTCATATCTCTATTAATTTGCCCTCTGAATGTATATTTGCATTTTTCCCTGCTTCTCTATGTATTCATGGGCTCTGTCTCTCCCAAATGCCTTTGAAGGATATGATTTAAATAAGTGATCATAAAAGTTGAAGCCCACGTGTATCAACGCAATGCTCAAGTGACTTTGTTCTTTTCTACATTTGAATAATTAGTAAGCGACACCCTTTTGCCCTCTGTGTTCGGCAGTACATGATCTTCCTACTTGCAGGTGTGTACACGGTGTACGTATCAGCGGGTTCTCACCAACAGCGAAGCAGGCAGATACATCTCCAGCGTTCCCGGCTTCTCTTAGGTACACTGTTTTTCCCTCCCTTTGGATTTGCCTGCTGCTTTTATTTATTTTTCAGATAAGTAATATCATGTTGTGCTATAAAAAAAAATCTATCCTCAATCAATGTGGGTCACTAGCCGTTTGTACCTTAGCGTGAGCTTGAGCCAAGGCGGCCCCTCTCTCAAGACCACAGTGTATGGATTATATAATGGCATGAAAAGCTTTCTTGCTTATCAAATAACCCTGCCTGAATTCTTTCTTCTTCTTAAGGAAGAAATGACCCTCCCTCGCTTGCTTGCTACCTTGATGCACACTGAGGTCGTCACTCGGGTCTCGTGTGTACCTGCAGACACAGGGCAGCGCGAGGGTGGAGGAGTAGTCGCTGTGTGACAGTCCCAAACACCTCGGTAGATTGCACGGGGTGGTGTTGAGAGGGAGTTACATGCAGTCATGCACAGTATCCCACTGATAAGCCAAAGGGGTCTTTCAGGGTCAAAACACAAGTCCCTAAGGCTGCCCATAACAGATGCTGATGCAATAGACACAGGCAGGGGTGAATCTGTAACAACAGCACACACCTTGCTTGCTCCCAAAGAGCTCCTACCTCGGGAGCTCACCCCCGTGCACAGCGCACTGTATCAGTGATCAGAGATGCTGCCCAAAGGGCTAAGAAACGGTAACTTTTGTTCTATAGTCTTTTGCTTTTGAAAGAACTTTCTTTCCGGAAACACATTATTATTTCTGTCTACAGATATGGAGACATAGGTACATATTCTAGAAACTACAGAGAAAGCTATTATAAACACCCTCCTCCAATCCCAGCATCCAGGTTATTAATAAAGTTGACCCTCTAGAAGTTTCACTTTAGATACCTCACGGCATATACATGAGGAGTTAAACAGATAAGCTCTAAGCAATTGAAAGCGGCATCTTGTACTATTTTAAAACAAAACCAATTTTAACGTAACTTTGTGTAAATTGCATGAATGCAACAACAAAAAGCTATTGGTGTTTCTTCATAAAAATGTTACTTATAAAAAAAAATCAAGAACAAATATATTTGCTGTTAAAGTTACGGCTTTTATTGGCCTCCTACTCTGAAAGGTTAGAGGAGGGGCAATGCACCCATCCATTTAATTCCCATAATTTGGTATTTTTACATTCTTGCATCTATAAAATGGATACTCTGTTGTACAACCACAGCTCGTAAGTTGATGAGCCACAGTGTTATACTGAAATGGACTCACTGGTCAGCACCAGTCATGTGATCATGTTTTCTTTCTTCTTTTTTTCTTTTCATTCGTCTTATTGTTGCTTGGACAACATTATTTGTATTCTCAAAGAGGTTGTACGTGCGACCTGACCTGCCTTGCCCGAATTCACTGGGTATAGAATTCATCAGTCATATTCCCTCACCAAACTTTCTTTAAAATATTTTTGTGAGTCTGTTTCCTCTCATTACAGTTGTAGGTCTCCCGGTATTGCCAGACTTCTTTTAAAAAATATACAATGCTCTTGATAGCTGGGGATATAGGTTATTAATTTCTTTTCTCTTTTATATTTTGCTCTAGGTTTCCTAGTTCAAGGCCACATGGATTATAATTACTATTTAGGTATAGAGATTCCTTGTTTTATGTTTTGTATCCACATTGTTTTTTGTTGTTTTTATCAGTGACTTTTATAGAAGAGGAATGAATTAAACTTGGCATTAGTTTACCATGTTTAAGCAAAACTTTTGATAGTCTATAGTAACTCATCAACTCTCATGCCCATAATCTAATGAACATCAGATCGTATAAAGAGAGAGCAACTTATTAATACTACTTTTAAATCAAAACTATACATATTTTTAAATTTATATCCCTCTACTTTGCCTGCACTTTTCTTTCCCCAAATCTTTTTACTGGTTAAGGTCTCTTTATACTCTGTGAATCTCTGTATATATTAATGTGTACATATTATGCTATCTTTATCTACCCTCTTTTATTCTTTTCTTTGGTCTTTCTGAGTCTGATTACTCTTTCTCTTTTCTGACATCGTTTTTCTTTCTTCCTTCTCTTTTCTTCTTATTTTGCATTTCTTATCTTCCCGTGTTTCACCTTATTTATGTTTTTTCCTCCTTCCTTCCCTCTGTCTTCTTCCCCTCCCCTTCTCCCTCTCCTTTCTTCCTCCTGTGTTTACTTACTTTGATTTTTCCTCAGTTGGCTGTGATTTGAGTTTAGTATTCCCTGTTTTATTGAAAAAAAAAAAAAAAAAGGTATGGTCTTTGTTGGTTGATCTTTAGTTATCCAAGAAAAATATTCTTCCCTCCCTTTTAAATTGCCGTTCGTTGATATTTTTATCAGCGTGCCTCTGAAGCAAAGCAGTTCTAAGTTTCTGTCCCTTTCTCCTCTGCGTACTGCGGTCTACTTGGAAATGACCCTTTACTAATTAATACCAGGTCTTTAAAGTCAAAACCTCAAACTCCTTTTTATACAGCTTTAATACCAAAGTTAAATTCTGTGTACTGGGGGAGAAATTGTAAAGGGTCATAATTTTTCATGCTGTACTTTCAGTAGAAACTAAGTTGTACCTTAATAAAGAGGGAAAAAAAAAAAAAAAAAACAACTTTTTGAGCACTGTACACATTTGAAATCAACTCTTTTCCACCTTTTTCTGAGTGATTTTCTCATTAATGAGAATTTCCTGACCTCCGAATTTTGATGTCACTTTGAATTCCTTATGACGTGCAACTCTGCAAAGTCTCCTCTTTCATTTATCAGTTCTTACTTTCACCCCAAATTTTTGCTCCCCAGTAGTGACTGGAAAAGAGGGTTACAGTCTCTTGGGGTCCACAGATAGAAGGGGGAAGAATATTTATGGTTGCTTGCTAGTGGTTGCTATGCAATGCAATGTATCTGAGAAGCAAACTATCCTTAGAGCTGTACATATAGCATTTCTTATTTCACACACTGGTGGAGACGAAAGTCGCCTTACCCCCTCGTTTGTTGATCTTGGCGTAGCCCGGAGAGTAGCTGGCGGACATGGAGGAGGAGCTGCTGAACGCGACGTGGGGGAGCCCCAACACCAGCGGTTCGTCACATTTTTCTGAAAAGAGAGGAAAGAGAGAGAGCACCAGTCAAACCCTTTATACAGAGATCGGTGTGTCTTTGTCAGAATAACCATGGACTGCCGCACACATTTACAAATCTTTGATGCAGCAGTTTAGCAAATGAGCAGAATGTCGGCAACTCAACTAGGACATCCTAACACACCCCAGGAGCGGTGTAAACCCCTTCCGGTTTTCTGGGGTTGGAACTGTGACTTTGCTTTATGCCCAAGGGCCTCCATGCAGACCTGCTATCTCCGGGGCCTGAGCAAAGCTGAGGCTGTTTATTTAACAGGCTTGGGAAGCTGGCACCTCCTGGCAAATCTTCATCACGGGAGTAGAGAATGGCAAACATGGAGCTCGGAGGAGGGGAGGCCAGGACGCATCCTACCCAAACGAAAAGACTAAGCAAACAGGAGTCAGCAAAGGAGAACCCAGTAATCCCCGACTTGCAAAGCATCTGAAATGCATCCGTTCCCATGCTGGACCCGCCGGCTGGACTGGTACCGGGTGATCCTTCCACGCTATTCCTCTTGGCTTCTACAGGCCATTCACTGTCTTGTCTTCTCCTTCACTACCAGCTGCTCTCAGGATCCTCGGAGGCATCTTATGTCTAAATGCTCAAGTGCCCAGCACGCAACCCTTGGATTTCTCCTCCGTGGACTCTCATTGCCTGAGGGGCTGAGTCGAGGCCGGCCTGTGTCTGGTCATTCTGGACCATCCGATATGCCGCCTCACCCGGCCATCCGCCATCAGGAAGACCGCAGGGGCTCCCTCGTCCCCGACAGTCCTTGTGTGCTTAGCGCCCAAAGGGGCCTATTAAAAATGTAAGGGGGCCGTTCAACTCCTGTGCTCAAGATAGCCACTGGCGCCTGCTCCCCAGCCCTTGGGAGAAAAGCAGAAACCCTTCAGCGGCCACAGTGGCCACAGCACTGGTGGCATCTCATTCCCGAATCCTTGTCCACACCTGTCCACCTCCAGGGCCCCTGCCCTTCCTTCATCAACAGGCCTGCTCCTGCCATGCACCTTCCCGATCACTAATGCAGCTGTCACCAGGCTGGGACCTCACTCCTCCCAGGCCCTGCTCGCTGTCACCTTCCACCGCTGTGGACGAGCGTATGAAGCCCACCGGTCGAAAGAGCACCAGGCTACCGCCTTCACCCTCTGCACCCACCCTGGCCTGGTTTTCCCACAGAGCATTGCGAGTCACCTGACACGCTGTGTTTTCCCTCATTCCATTGTTTGGTTGGCTGGACGCTCTGTGGGAATAAAGTTGTTCATAGTTTGCTTAAGGCTGACTCTCCAGGGACCTGAAGAGCAGTTGACACACACACTAACAGCATTTTCTGAATGAAGAATGAATGAATGAATGAATGAATGAATGAATGAAGTGAGTGAATGGATGACCTGAAGCCCGCTGCTTGATTACCATGACACACCACACCTGATTCATACATAGGCGCTCTTAAGTCCCCAACAGGTGTTAGTAGACACTCAGCCCCAGAGGCACCGAGCTCACACTGCTTAGTCCAGAGGGGTTTCTAGCTCCCTAGTTTATAAACAGGAACAACATGAGCAGAAGGGACGCACTTCTTTTTCTGAAAAGTCACTCAGGTGGAGTTACGTTCTCAATGATACTGGGGAAACCAATTGTCTGTCATTCATTATCTCATCCCTCAAGCGTGTGCAAATTTGAAGTTAAAATAAACCAGGCCATCCTTGTAAAAACGTTGTTAGATTTCTTATTTATATGGTAGGAGCCTCTGGGGATTATGGCATGGGTGTACGGATATATTCCCCCCAAAGCTAAATGTAAAAAGATAAAAATATGAACATAAAATTTATTTTTAAAGTATCAGTTCTCATAAAATGGGTGTCTAAAGTGAAGGGTTTTACATTAACTATGTTTTATTTTTTAAATGTGATAGTCAGTTTAGCTACCAGTGAGCCCAAATAAATAAAACCTTGATTTCCTATCTCCTGATTCACTGGAGTCTAACAGTCTATAATCTTTTGTCATAGTTCTGCATTTAACTGGAGTAATTCTTACTTCTAAAGCTCCCACTCTATTAAAATTAAAAATAGAATTGCCATTTGAACCAGCAATCACACTTCTAGAAATATATCCTAAGAATCTAAAACACCAATCAGAAAGAATACATGCACCCTTATGTTCATAATAGTGCTATTTACAATTGCTAAGATCTGGAAACAGCCCAAGTGCCCATCAGTAGAAGAGTGGACAAAAAAGCTGTGGTACATTTACACAATGGAGTACTATGCAGCTGTACAAAAGAAATATCTCTTATCCTTTGAGACAGCCTGGAGGGACCTGGAGAGTATTATGCTAAGGAAAATAAGACAGTCAGAGAAAGACAAGGATCACATGGTCTCACTTATATTTGGAATCTAAGGAACAAAATAAACTGACGAACGAAATAGATCCAAAGACATGGAAGCAGGGAACAGACTGATGAATCTCAGAAGGAAGAGGGTGGGGTGGAAAGAGATTAACCAAAGAACTTATATGCATAACCTGTGGACACAGACAATAGTGCCTGGGGGGAGGGCAGGAATGAGGTGGAGAGGGTCAATCAGGGAAATAAAGAGGGACATCTGTAATACTTCCAACAATCAAGCCAAATTAAAAAAAGAAAAAAAAAAAAAAAGAATGTGCTAATGTTCATTCATTCGAATCTATACCAAGCGCCCATGCTGGGCACAGGAACCAAAGCAATGGACCAAACTGACAGCATTTCTGTCCTCCTGGAATAGGATGTCTCTGGGAAAAGAAACTTTACTTTTACAAAAAGTAAATTTATGTAATGAGATGACGGTACATTCTGCAGAGACGTTACTACAATGGGGCAGGGGGTGTGGGGTCACGTGGAGGCTGAGGGGGTTGCTGTTCTGGGCTGTCTGGCCAGGACAGCTTCTCTGACCAGGGGTCTCTAAGCGTCATCAGGAGGAAATGGGGACGCGAGCGGAGTCAGAGACCCTCAGCCCAGTGCTGGGAGGAAGCTCTCAGCCCACGCCTGCCACGGGGCAAGCGTGGTGAACAATGCACGTGCTGAAAGCTAACACTCACTGCACGCACATCCAAGGTGACCGAAACGAAGCTGATGAATAATTGATAAAACGATCCATTAGCTCATTTAAATTTAGGTCGCAAATGGAGCATTTATGAAACCCGAAGGCACTTCATCCATATTACATTTTTGAAAATTTGACTTCTGCAACAAAGGTATCATCTGTACACCAAGTTTTAAATGTGTAACTTGTCTCTTAGAAATCACATAACTCAGAATAACAAGATTAGAATAACACCGAAAACATAGACTTAGAATAAACTTGGAATCAGGAGATATGAGAGCATATAAGAGATTGTTGTATTTTAATTGTCTGCCAAGGGTGACTGACATCATCATCAGAACGGAAACACTGTGACCGCACATTCTCCTACGTGGACACAATGTATAAGCCGCGGTGACAGAAAGTGCTACAGGCGCTGTTTTCTGGGAAGGCTTTTCATTACAAATATTTATTGAGATTTTCCTCTATGCCTTGTACTGCTGTACACACATTGGGAAATTAAAGAAAAATTATATATATATGTATATAAACACACACACACACACACACACCCCATCCATCATTTATCGTGGTTAATCTGCTCCAGACTCTAGCGGTTGCACCTGGCGTTGAAGGGTTCCTGGGGTGCTCGAATACATAGGCCTACAGCCCATACTTACAGTGATTTTAATTTTAATTGTAATACAGGGGTACATACTTGATTCAGACAACCGTGCACACACTGTATCATTTTCACTGTCTTGATCAACTTTTTAATGAATATATTTGAAAAAAACGTGATACAGTGAAGCCACCAAAGTCAAAGTGCAAAGTGGCAAGAGATGACTGTATATTTATTATATATATATATATATATATATATATATATATATACATACACACACACATATAATACACACACACACACATATATATATATATTTTTTTCTTTTTTTTAGAGAGAGCCCTTTTTCTCACCAGAGGTAATACATGGACCTACCAGAAGCAATAAACATGAAAGAATAAGAGAGACTAGCGAAGAGTTTGTAATTCATGCTGAATAGACATCATCACATCTGAAAGCCACGAGGAATGAGAACACAGGGCCACTGTCCAGGTGCAGGGCTTGTGGCCCCGGCTCTACCTACGTGAGCACCTTGTGTCTATCAGCTGACCTGGGTGCAGATGGGCCACCCCGCCGTGCACATCAGCTGACCTGGGTGCCCATGGGCCAACCCGCCGTGCACATCAGCTGAACTCGGAGCCAATAGGCTGCCCCGCCGTGCACATCAGCTGACCTCTGTGCCAATGGGCCACCCCACAGTGCACATCAGCTGATCTGGGTGCCCATGGGCCACCCCACAGTGCACATCAGCTGACCTCTGTGCCAATGGGCCACCCCACAGTGCACATCAGCTGACCTGGGTGCCCATGGGCCACCCCACAGTGCACATCAGCTGACCTGGGTGCCCATGGGCCACCCCGCAGTGCACATCAGCTGAACTCGGAGCCAATGGGCCACCCCACAGTGCACATCAGCTGACCTCGGTGCCAATGGGCCACCCCACAGTGCACATCAGCTGACCTCGGTGCCCATGGGCCACCCCGACGTGCACATCAGCTGAGCTGGGTGCCCATGGGCCACCCCGACGTGCACATCAGCTGACCTGGGTGCCCATGGGCCGCCCCACAGTGCACATCAGCTGATCTGGGTGCCCATGGGCCACCCCGACGTGCACATCAGCTGACCTGGGTGCCCATGGGCCGCCCCACAGTGCACATCAGCTGACCTGGGTGCCCATGGGCCACCCCGCAGTGCACATCAGCTGACCTGGGTGCCCATGGGCCACCCCGACGTGCACATCAGCTGACCTGGGTGCCCATGGGCCGCCCCACAGTGCACATCAGCTGACCTGGGTGCCCATGG